TTATTTTGAGAGAGAGAGAAAGAACGCAAGCAGGGGAGGGACAGAGAGAGGGGGAGAGAGAGAATCCCAAGCAGGCTCTCCGCTGTCAGCACAGAGCCCTACGTGGGGCTCTATCTCATGAGCTGTGAGTTCATGGCCAGAGCCGAGATCAAGAGTTGGACACTTAAACAACTGAGCCATCCGGGCGCCCCTGACCTGTGCTTTTCAAATGGGGTCTTTCTTTTCCAGCAGGTTCCTCACACAAAATATTAAGTGAATGCCCAACATATAAAACGGATTAAATGGGGACTTTTTATTTTTTTTAAACTTTCCTTTAACTAAATAACACTTTCCTTATGAAATTTAGACATTGCTTCAAACACAATCTCATTCATAGAGCTTGACGTTCATGGCTGTAACACGTATGTAATCAAATGGGCACAGAAGGCCCAAAACATGTCCTAACCCAAACGATAGTTGTCCACAGCCTGGATGACATTGGACCACATGACCCGTTAACATGAATCATTAGAACCCTCTGGCTTCTTGGTTATTTGAGCTCGTCCCTCTTTTCCTCAGCCACCTGCTCATGGTTATGAGTTTCTGCCAATAACTATACCACGTGCAAAATCTTGGTCTCAGACATTCCGCTCTCTACCTGTCCCCACCCCTCGCCCTTCTAACTCACTTGGTTTAACACCATCACTGCAAGACATTTTTTGCCCCGTGGGGACTTCTAATCCATTAACCTCACCATTTTCCACTCTCTATCAGCTTGCTAATGTCTTCGATTTCATGGTCTATCAATGTCGTCACTCAAGGGGGGACCTTTCTAGGTCGGGAGGGGCTCCTGGAGCACACCAGCTCAGCACCCAACACCCTTCCCAGGATGCTCCCTGAGGCATATGTATGGGGCCCTCAGGCACCAAGGATGCAATTGGAAAACCATCAGCCTTGATATTCCAGAAGATCCCTTTCAGGTTCACGTTTTCCTGCCAAGGGATGGAGTGAGTGCCCTGGGGTGGGAAGCCGAGGAGGTCAGGAGCACCCCGTCCTGCTCTGGGCTCAGAAGCACCTGTCATGATGATGAGAGCCCCATGACTTGAGGGTGGTTAGGTGCTGGGTGTCATGCCGAGCGCTTTCCTTGGGTCCCCTCTCATTCTATCCTGTCAGCAGTCTTACAGCGTGGGTAGCAGTAGTGGGGTCACTCGACATCGTAGTTCATACAGGAGGGCAGTGGCAGGGCCGTGACATGGGAGTGAACCCCCCCAGTCGAGACTGAGAGCTCTGAGTGAACATCAGGAACCATGTGTCCCCGGCCTGCAGGACACAGGTCATTGTCCTCCTCCTGCTGCTGCCTGGCCATGGTTCCAAGCCAGAGCTGCAGGCAGGCAAACTGAACCATCAGGTGATGATGCCGAGCTGCCAAGAAGCATCAGGCAGGAGCAAAAAGGGAAGGATGTTGGTGGGGATGCGCGGGGCTGGAGGATGCAGAGGTCGACCTGCCGAGCTCGAATCCTGCCCCCTCCTTCTCAGCGCTGTGACTCTTGGCGGCTGACTTCGCTTTTCTTTGGGTTTGGTGTGATGAGGCGTGCAAAGTAAGGGGGCCCCTGCCACAGCCATCGCCTCCCACTGCCCCGTTCGAGAACTCACCTGATCACCATGGAATCCTGGGATGAGGGGGAACAGCAGTGCCCCGGCCCCCAGAGGGCTCCATCAGCTGTGCTGCCCGAGGAGCCCGGCCCCACCCCCCAGGCCCTGTGGGAATGAAGCTTCTCCCGCGTAGGGGGAGCACCCTGACCCACACCCCAGAGCTGACACGACCGCATTGGGCGTCAGGGAGCACAGCCCATTCCAGGAAATCTTCCAGTCTGTGCCTCCCTCCTGACTCTCAGGCCAGTCCAGCTTGGGTTTCAGCCCAGCCGCCGTGAGCCCCGAGAGAGGATTTCTGCCGGGCCCCCAGATTCGCCTACAGTCGGCACCCATGGCAGGTTGGCAGGCTGGGACCCGCACCCAGCTGCACGGCAAGGGTGCCAGGGACAGGCTTAGGTTGCATTCCAGCTGCGTCACTGTGACCTTGAGGAAATCCCCCAAATGCTCTGAGCCTCCAGCTCCTCTTCTGCTGGTTGAGGATGGAGGCGGGGAGTACATGAGACCACTCCCGGGGAAACCCCGATAAAGTACATGGCATGTGGTACCAAGGCCCCAACAGTGGTTTGCTCCGATTATCGGCTTCAGCAAAGCCAGCAGCACGTGGCCCCGAAGAGCAGCCGGGAAGTTAGAAAAAGAGGACTTGCTGCTAAACTCCACGCAGTCCCTCAAACACTCGAAGCACTCCTGCCTCAGGGCCTTTGCACATGCTGTTTCCTCTGCCTGGAATCCTCTTCCCTCAGACACGCCCATGATTTACTCTAAGAAGCCTTCCCTGAGCACCCTATTAAAAAAAACACCCCCTAACATAGGGATATACCCTATCTCCCTTCCCTGCCTTATTTCTCCGTAGCACCTCTCACCATCCGACGCGCTGTCTGTGGCATGTTTGATTACTGCCTGTCTTCTGCCACAAGACTGTCAGTGAGTGACACGAATGAGGGAGTCTGGGTTTTGCACGGTGCCGAATTCCCCACGCGAGTGCCCGGCACATAGTAGGTCCTCAGGAAACGCGTAGAGACTGCATGAAAATGGAGACTGCGATGGTGCAGATGATGCGAGCCGCGCTCTGGCTAGGACTGGGCTTCCATGCTCTAAACTCTTACCGAGGGGCCTGGCCTCCCAGACGACAGGTGTGCCAGCACGTGGAAGGGGCGGGTTAAGGCGGAACTGGAAACCAGAGGTTTCCATGGTCCCACACGAGCATGCAGAACTGGAAACCAGGGGTCCTCCCACACAAGCATGCACGGTGCACTGAAAACAGGGGCTTTGGAATCAGGCCAAGCTGCGTTTGAGTGTGGACAGCGAGGGCCTCGGTGATCTCGTCTGTACAATAGGACGGCCGGCTGAGACGACCTCCCCGCTCCAACACACACAGTTCTGTGGGTTTCACCCTTGCTGGGCTGCCCCCCTTTTCCCCTGCCCCCCACATCCTTCGGCTTGGCTCTGCTCCTCACCACCCCCCACCCCTGCCCCTCAGGAAACTGGCCGACTGTGCCCAGCTGCTGGAGGTGGATGACATGGTGCGGCTGGCGGTGCCCGACTCCAAGTGCGTCTACACCTACATCCAGGAGCTGTATCGCAGCCTGGTGCAGAAGGGACTGGTGAAGACCAAGAAGAAATGAGGAGGTGACCGGCGCTGCAGGCGGAGAGGGGCAGGACGCCCGGCTGACCGGCCACGGCCCCCCGAGGCCGCCGGAGCTGGGGCTCAAGCGAGGGCAGGTGGCACCAGTCTTAAACGCATTAAAGGTACTTTTGTAAAATCCTGTCTGGCCCTTCAGTGCACCCTACACCCCCTGCCCAGGAACCTCGCTCACTCTGGGGTAATGAAGCCCAGCCGCCGGGCTTCCTCACCGGACACGACTTCTCAACAACCACAACACCGTTCGGGAAAGTACGAGGGCCTGGGTCCCACCACTAAGCAGCTGTGTGACCTTGGACCAGTGAGTTAACCTCTCTGAGCCTCAGTTTACCATCTGAACAGTCACACCTCGTGGACCTGTTGGGAGGGTTAAACGAGACGATAAAATGAACGGAAAGCTTTGCCCGGTGCCTGTCACATCAAGTGTTCGATAAGTGAGGCCGAAAGTAAATGCATTCGTATGTTTTGAGCCATCGGTGGTGTTTTTCCCGATTCTCTTCCCTCTTTCCACACTTCTCCCAAATTAGGGAATTCCAGAACAGGTGCTAGAAGATTCTCTGGAAACCTCAAACTAGGTTAGTGGGGCCTGGGGCGATTCCCTCAACTCAAAGATACCCTACATTTGTGTCTAAAGTGGTGGTTTTCCCACAGCCTAGAACCACTGGCCCCTGAAAGTCCTTCCTCCGGGTTAAGTTAATCCCTTCGGCTTGGGCTGAAGTTTTGGCTTGGCTTTGTTTTTTCTATTGCTCATTAGAGATGCACCCCCTGAGCTGCTTATAATTTCCTGCTGACAATCCTGTCTGGCTCTATCAGTCTTTTGGAGCTTTGTGTGTGGATGAGAACAGCTTGTGAAAAACACAAACGAAATCCAGCCGGTTTGGCACTGCGGCAGGAGGTGTGGACTCTGCCCTGATTGGCAGAGCGGACCCGGGAACCCACTGAAGCACTCTGGGCCTCAGTTGCCTCATCTGTAAAGTGGGGGCATATTGACAGCCTAGTCCCTCATGGCCAGCTTTGCCCACAGTGTTTGGGGTTACTCGAAGCCCAGAGAACCACCAGTTCTGGGGAACAGGGCCACACCTTTGCGTAGATGGAGCTGACCCTCCGCCTCACCTTCTCCTGAGGAAACCACACCATCCTCTCAATAAACACTCAGCCGGTCTCCAAATTCATCTGTGACTTTAATGGCCGGACAAACAGATGGTCTCTGTGGTCATCCCGGACTGGAAGCTGGAGGGCTTCCTCCCAGGCTGAAGCCTGGCCCCCAGAAACTGGTAACCTAATGGGATTGCATGTGGGGCGCCTGAGTGGCTCAGTCGGCTGAGCATCCGACTTTGGTTCAGGTTGTGATCTTGCAGTTCGTGAGTTCAAGCCCTGCATCGGGCTCTCTGCTGTCCATGCAGAGCCCGCTTCAGATCCTCTGTCCCTCCTCTCTCTCTGCACCTCCTCCATTCTCTCTCTCACCCTCTCTCTGTCTCAAATTTAAAAAATTTTAAAAACACAAACCATATAGTCAGGGACGCCTGAGGGACGCCTGGGCGGCTCAGTCAGTCAAGCGCCTGACTTCGGGCCAGCTCACGATGTCACAGTTTGTGAGTTCAAAGCCCCACTTCGGGCTCTCTGCTGTCAGCACAGAGCCTCAGATCTCTGTCACCTTCTCCCTCTGCCCCTCCCCGCCTCTCAAAAATAAACATTAAAAAATATCACACTATAAAAAAAACCACATAGATTTCTGGATAGAGATTAGATTCTTCACTTCATGACTCATCAGGGGAAAAGGAAAGGTTTCGCGCATAAATCTAGACATGAAGTACCTATTAGCAGTCTGGCTGACTTCAAATAATAAACAAATCACTCAAGTGTAAATATGACTCTCTCCAAGTGCCCTGCCCCCCCCCCATACTCCTCACATCCCCTCTGCCCCTCTGCCTGGGCCCTAGGGGGATGCGAGGCGGCTCCTAGGTTCATTTCCTGCCAGCTGGCCTGAAGGCAACCTGTGTCTGTGAGAGCACGGAGCCCTGGAGAGCTGGCCTGTAATTGCACAAACGTGAACTCGTCTGCCTCTGGGGCAGAGAAAGAGCAGGAAAAGCACACTGTGGCCAGGTGAACGTGGGAATGGGTCCATGCCACACACACACACACACACGCTCACACACACACACAGGCTAATGACTAGCTACTTAAGAAGGAAAACATGCAACAAATGACAGGAGGCTCCGGCCGCACCCCCCCCCCGGCCCCCCACAGCTTCCATGAAATGTCCGCCCGTCACACAGAGAGGATCCGGCAAAGAGAGGGGTCAGAACCAGTTAGGAGGGCCGGTCGACTCCATACTTGAGGGTGAACTCCCTGGCCTCCCTGTGGAACAGCTCCGGATCTTGCTTCAGTAGGTCTGCGAGCTCCAACCGGACTGGCTGCCCCAGGTCTGGTCTGTTCACCAGCACATTGAGGGCCTCCAAGACTGGGGAGAGAAGCCAGGTCAGGACATCAGGATGGAGAGAAAAATCCTGGGAAGGAGGCGATGGCAGCCCCCTCCCAGATCCCCTGGCACCTCCACGCTCAGTCTGTGGGGGACCCCAAGGAGGTCGACTTCTTAGGATGATGACATTACAACCAAGTTAAAAGCCCCTCATTCCTCACTGACGGTGCCCAAAGCCCTGTCTGGCTATGTCAGTGCTTTTCAAACCATGTTCCATGGCTTCATAGAAACGTCTCATCGTGGGGGTCAATGAGATAAATGGGGTTTCTGTTTCCAACAAGAGCCGCCCTGTTTTTCTGTTTGATATTAAGATTCCAAATAGCCCTAAGTCGGGCTCCACGCTGACAGTACGTCGCCCGCTTGGGATTCTCTCTCTCCCTCTCTCTCTGCCTCTCCTCTGCTTGCTCTCTTTCTCTCTCAAAATAAATGAAATAAAAAAAAAATTTTTTTAAAGGATTCCAAATAAATCAACTTTTATTTGGGAAAAGGGGTTCTGAGGCTCCAGACTATAAAGTGCTATTGCCCCGTGGCTCCTAACCTTTCACGGATGGCTCTGGGAACCAGGAGAAGGCGGTGGGCCATCTCTCGAGGCACATGCAGGTGTGAATACACGCCAACATGAAGTTCTAAGTTAAGAGTGCTGCACAGACCCCCTGAAGCTCACCCAAGGACCACTCCTCCTCCCCGTCCCCCCCCCCCCGTCCCCCCCGGGACCTTGTTTCTAAGGCTAAGAACTCCTGAGCTGGTCCAGAGGCACCTGAGTGGCTCAGTTGGTTAACCGTCCAACTTCGGCTCTGGCTGTGATCTCACGGTTCGTGGGTTCGAGCCCCACGTCGGGCTCTGTGCTGACAGCTCAGAGCCTGGAGCCTGCTTCAGATTCTGTGTCTCCCTCTCCCTCTGCCCCTCCCCCACTCATGTTCTGTTTCTGTCTCTCAAAAATGAATAAATGTTAAAAAAAATTTTAAATAAACACGAAAAAAAAAAAATTCCTGAGTTGGTTCACGCACCGATGACGTTCACAGACTCTATAGAAATGCACTGTCCAATATGGTAGCCACTAGCCACATGCAGATCTCTAAATTGAAAGGAATTAAAAATGAACTGCAATCAGGAATTCACATCAGTCGCAGGACCACACTTCAGGTGCTCCATCGCCACCTGTCACAGAGGCTAGGGAAGTGGACAGGGCAGCCACGGATCATTTCCATCACTATAGAAAGTTCTGCAGGGTAGTGCTGGTCTAGAGTCAGCCGAGCCCGGCTGTGAGTCCCAGCTCTGCCACCTGACAGCGGGACGAGCAAAGGCCAGTGCTTCACTTACCACAGGCCTCACTGTGCTCATCTGTGCAATGGGCAATGAGAACACTCTGTACGGGGCTGCTGGGGGACTGGATGAAGGTGGTGTGTGAAGCTCCTAGCACAGGGCAGAAAGCATTTAATCCACACGTACTGCCATTACTGGGCCAATCCCCTCAACTGTCATTTCGGGCTCTGAGCCTGCGAAGGAGCAGACCTCGGCAAGGTCCGCAGACAGAGCAACAGAGCCCGTCCCTCCCAGACCCGTGGCCACGCTGCTCCGTCCCACCTGCCCAGGTAGAAAGCCGAGGCAGGACCAGGTCAGCAGGCCCAGGATCTCAGGACGCATCCCTTCTATCCGAAGACAGGCTCAGCTGAGACCCACCATTTTTATCTCCCCTCTTTGGGGCGTTTTCTGATTCAAAATCAGTCCCATCACCTCTCCTCCAGGATCAGACCCTCCTGTTAGGCGAGGCCCAGCCCCACCTTGGCAGGTCTTGGTGTAAGGACTCCAGTTCTCCTTGCTGATGATGGGCAGGCAAACCTCTCCATTGTGGCCCACGTTGGGGTGGTAGATCCTGGTGGTGAATGTCACCGTAGGGGGCTTGAACGGATAGTCCTCAGGGAAGTTGATGCGCAGGTGGAAAGCCTTGAGGTTGTAGGGTGGCTCCTCCTGCGCAAGAGAAGGGGTGAAGCTCTGTTCCAGCACACGTCTGCTCTGAAAAGCCTGTTTCCCTCCCGGGGCCTTGGTCTGGCGGCCCCTCTCCCGGCCTCGCCCCTGGACTCCGAGGAGTCCTCTGTGGCACGCCCAGGTGGGACCATGAACGGACACGGGTGGCTCCTGGACTCACTGGGCAACTGAGCCGCGGATTAGTGGAGTCACAAAAGAACACTGGCCTGGGAGTCACAAAAGTCCCACCCTGGCTCTTTCTGTGCGACAACTGTGGGCCAGCCACCTCCCACCTTTGGGCCTCAGCTTCCTCGTTCGAAAACGGGGTCACATTTGACTAGGACCATCTCAGCTTTTTTTTTTTTTCAATGGATAATTAATTTCTGTCCATTTCTATTGAAAAAGAATTGACAAACATGATGGTGTAAGTGGATGGTAAAATGACTACCACCATGGGCTCAGCGAACGTCCGTCTTCTCACACAGATACAATTAAAAAGAAAAGATGGGGCGCCCGGGTGGCTCAGTCGGTTAAGCATCCAACTCTTGGTTTCGCCTCAGGTCATGACTGCATGGTTCATGAGTTTGAGCCCTGCATCCTGCTCTGTGCTGACAGTGCAGAGCCTGTTTGGGATTCTCTCTCTCTCTCTCTCTCTCTCTCTCTCTCTCTCTCCCTCTCTCTCTGCCCTTCCCCTGCTCTCTAAACAAACAAACAGGGGCGCCTGGGTGGCTCGGTCAGTTAAGCGTCTGACTTCGGCTCAGGTCATGATCTCACGGTCCTTGAGTTCGAGCCCCGCGTCGGGCTCTGTGCTGATGGTTCGGAACCTGGAGCCTGTTTCGGATTCTGTGTCTCCCTCTCTCTCTGCCCCTCCCCTGTTCATGCTCTGCCTCTCTCTGTCTCAAAAATTAATAAACGTTAAAAAAAATAAACAAATAAATAAACTTTTAAAAATTCCATCTATAGATGAGTTCATGGAGAATTTGTCTTTCTCTGCCTGACTCATTTCACTTAGCATAATGCCTTCAAGGTCCGTCCATGATGCCACAAATGGCCATCTCGGCTTCAACGTCTTCATGTTGCAAAAGAAGAATGCAATAGAAGAATGAAGCATGGGAGAAATCATTACTGGGGGGGGCGGAATGGAGAAAATGAGGGGATCATAAGAAGTCAGGGGCTTGGGAACGTAAAATGGTGCAGCCACTGTGGAAAAACGTATGGCAATTCCTCAAAAATCTAAACATAGAGGGGGCGCCTGGGTGGCTCAGTCGGTTAAGCATCCGACTTCGGCTCAGGTCATGATCTCATGGTTCGTGGGTTCGAGCCCCGAGTCGGGCTCTGTTGACAGCTCAGAGCCTGCAGCCTGCTTTGGATCCTGTGTCTCCCTCTCTCTCTGTCCCTCCCCTCCTCATGCTCTGTCTTTCTCTCTCAAATAGATTAAAAAATTAAAAAAAAAATCCAAACACAGAATTAGCACGGGATCCATGCTAACAACCCAAATACTCACTGATGGATGAATGCAGAAACAAAATGTGGCATACATGTACAAGGGAATATTATTTACCCTTAAAAAGGAATGAAATTCTGACGTGTGCCCCAACATGGATGAACTTTGAAGACATTATGCTAAGTGAAACAAGCTAGAGAAAAAAGAACAAATACTGTATGACTCCACTTACGTGAGGTACCCAGAATAGTCAGATTCACAGCCATAAAATAGGAAATGAGGGGGAGAGGGAATGGGGAGTCAGTGTTTCATGGGTACAGAGTTTCGGAAGGGGAAGATGAAAACGTTCTGGAGGTGGGTGATGGGGACAGTTGCACAACAATGCAATGGGGTTAGTGCCCCTGAACTGTAAACATGAAAAGGGTAAATATTGTTATTGTGTACTTTACCATAATAAAAAAATTTTACAGAAAGAAAGAACTCAGGGGCTGGGGTGACTGGGGGTTAGGGGTAGCCAGGGGCCAGTAGAAGACCCTCCAGACTTCGAGCAACCTGAAAAACTTTCCTGGGTGCCTATTCTGTGCCACCTTGTGTTAAGAGCTTGACAAATATTAGTCCATGCAACAGAGGGCAGGGGTTCCATGGACTTCGGAGCCACGGTATGAATATTGGCTCTGCCACTCTAGCTGTGTGACCTTAGGCAAGTAACTTAACCTCTGTGCTTCCCTATGACAATAATAGGCTTCTTCATACAGCTTATGTGAGAACTAAATGAGTTAATTTATGTTAAGGGCTTAGAACAGCACATGGAAAGCACTATCTGTGTGTCAGTAGGTAATACAGTAGGTATTATGAAAACTCCCCACTATTAGCATCTACATTTTCAGATGAGGAAGCCCAAGTTCAATGTCTTGTAACTTGCCCAGGGCCCCAGTGGAGTGCTGGAGGGGAACCCAGAATTGCCAACTCTATGTCTCCACATGTGAGCACTAGTCTACACCCCTAGAAGGGGGGAGCCCCAGAACTCGGGTGACCCCAGCACAGAGTCCAGGGGCTTCCGGCTGCTTCCAAAGCTCCAGATCCTTTCAGAGCCTTCGTTACTGAGAAGACAGGACAAGGACATATGGATGTAAGCCTGCAGTCAAAGTCTTAAGAGAACTCCTCTTAGTTAGCAGAGGGCAAAGGGGAGCCATAGGGGTCTTGGGTGTGTCTGAGATAAGAGATGGGGCAACTGTATAGGGCAGGGAAGGAAAATGGCTCAGCTTTTCATTCTTGATGATAAGAGACCAAGGCCTGTGCAGTGGAGACAGAGCCGAGCATGAGGCCTCAGAAAAGGATGGGAGAATGTCCATGTGTCCTGTCTGCAGGGTTGCATGCTGGGCTTCCTGGGTCTTAACAGAGGAGCCTTGGACTTGACGGCCCTGGGAGCCCACCCCAGCTCTGCCTCAAGCCCACCATGTGGCTTTGAGCTCCTCCAGGAATCGGGATCCTCATCTGTAAAATGAAGAAGCTGGGCCACCCCGAGGGCTTTCATACTATACCTTAGGGTCAGCTGAGAAAGTCTGATTTCCTTCTAAGCTTTCGGTTTATTTTTCATTATTTTAAGTTTACTTTATTTGAGAGAGAGAGAGCGAAAGTCAGAGAGAGAGGAGAGAGAGAGAGAGAGAGAGAATCCCAAGCAGGCTCCCCACTGTCAGCGCAGACCCCCATGTGAGGCTCGATCTCACCAACTGTGAGATCATGACCCAAGCCGAGATCAAGAGTCAGGTACTTAGCCAACTGAGCCACCCAGGTGCCCCTGAGTTTGGGGCTTAAAAAAAGCACTCGGCTATTCTTCCAGCTCTGCCACCTTATTCTTTTTTTTTGCAAAAAAAATTCATTGCTAAGTGCTTAGAGAAGAGTTGGTGTTTTATAGGTGTTGGCTAACTGTCTCACTGGAAGGGGGCTTCTTTGCTGAAGCTGTGGAGAATTGAACTTTAGTCTCAACAAAACTGCCATTGGATAAAAGTATTATGAAAACTCACCACTACCAGCATCTACTATTATATTATATTATATTAATTATATTATATTATATTATAATTATATAATTATATTATATATTATATTATATATTATATTATATTAATACTATTATATTATACTACTATTATGTCATTTTGGCAGCACTGATAATTGGAAGCTAATCATAAACTTATTTTGTTCTGCATCAATATCCTAAGAGCCCTAGAATTTTTTTTTCCAATCTCAAAAGTGACCCTATTTTAGCCATTAGTAAATCATAGAAAAGTCAGTATCCTGCCACCTTATTCTGTGTGACCTTCTGTGTGACAAGTTACTCAACCGCCTCAGCCTCCATTTCCCCAACCCTAAAAAGATGTCAGTCTTCCTCACGGAGCGGTTGAGAGGGCTCAGTACGACTGCTCAGGCAATGCCCTGGAAACAGGGCTCGGTCCACAGTGGGTAATGAATGGCAACTCTTACTATTAGCTTTCAAAAGCTCATCCCGCTGTCAGCTTCCGTGATAAGAGGTGACAGGTGGGGCCACCTTGGTGAGCATGTATACGGAGACTGAGCTTTTAAGGGACAATCTGTCAGCTCATCCCACAGACCTGTCTGGGTTCTCCTTCCCCTGCCCTCCAACCATTCCTCCTTTACGGCTTCATCAGGCACCTCTGGGCCCCCTCAGCTGGCTGTTCTGCATCAGCCTTTGGTCCCCCAATCCCAAGTGTTGAGAGTGACGAAAATGTCTTTTGTTATGTTAATGAGGTGGCTTTGGAAGCACCTAAGGAGGGGGGCTATAGTCAGGGGGAACCAACCAGGGGGTTAGAGGGTTGGAGGGGAGAAGGGCTAGAGTTCAGTCACCAAAGGCCAAAGATTTAATCAACCATGCTTATGTAATAAAGCCTCTGTGAAAACCCAGAAGGGCAGGGTTCAGAGAGCTTCTGGGCTGGTGAACGCGTGTTGGCTTGGGGAGATGGCGTGTCCAGAGAGGGCACGGAAGCCCCGCGCCCTTCCCCCATCTTGCACTGGCAATCTAGCAAGTAAAATGCTTCTGAGTTCTGTGAGCCGCCCTAGCAAATTAAGTGAGCCTGAAGAAGGGGTCATGGGAGCCTCTGATTTATAACCATTCAGTCAGAAGCAACCGGGACTTGGGACTGACATCTGACGGGAGGAGGGGGAGGGTGTGTAAAAGGGACAGTCATGTGGAACCCAGGCTTTAATCTGTGGGATCCGATGCTATCTCCAGGGTAGATGGAGTCACAAGTGAGTTAAATAGTAGGACACAGGACATCCAGGGGCACCTGGGTGGCTCAGCTGGTTAAGCGTCCGACTCTTGATTTCAGCTCAGGTCATGATCTCATGGTTGGTGGGTTCAAGCTCCAAGTTGGGTTCTGTGCTTGCAGTGCGGGACTTGCTTGGGATTCTCTCTCTCCTTCTCTCTCTGCTCCTCCCCTGTTCGCACTCTCTGCCTCTCTCTAAATAAATAAGCATTAAAACATGATTTTGGGAGGGCGCCTGGGTGGCTCAGTTGGTGAAGCGTCCAATTTCGGCTCAGGTCATGATCTCGTGGTTCACAGGTTCGAGCCCCGTATTGGGCTCCGTGCTTCTGTCTCCCTCTCTCTCTGCCCCTCCCCTGCTCATAATCTGTCTCTCTCTCTCTCAAAAATAAATAAAACATTTTAAAAATTCTAAAAATATTGTTTTTAGTAGTAGGACACCCAGCTGGTGTCCTAAGAATTGCTTGGAGGTGGGGCAGAGACACCCCTCCACACGCTGGAATTGTGCTCAGACCAGAAGACGCCCCACCTTGGTCTTGCTGACTGTGATTTCACAGTATTCTCTGAAATGTGACGTCCCCCAGGTGTCCCTGTCGCCCACCTTCTGCCTTCTCACCCGCTCCTCCACCTTTACTCTCATCCACCTCAGAGCTAGCCTCCCTGGGGCATCTAATCAGTCCCTGGAGCACCTTCTAGCACCTTCTTCCTCTGGCCCCTGAGGCCCAGAGCAGCTGTCCTCACTCCAAGCCAGGTAAACGGATTGCTTCAACCAGCAGCCCACTGGACACGACCGAGGTTCGTATGTTGCCCCGAGTCAAGCCTTTCCCTATTTTTCAGGACTAAAGGCCGGCTGAAAGAGAAGAGGGCACAATCCAGGCCATTGCATTGTCAGTAAAAAGACCAAATCCTAAATAATCAAATGAATGGTTCTTTTTATCTTCCAAAGAGCTAATGACAAGTTTTACTGTTTTAATTTTTATGTCCATGTAATTAAAGGTGTATAATGACTCTCCCACAGAAAAGATCTTCAGTCTATTAATAATAAAAGAGAAATCCTGCACGCAGATTGGTCCACTAGAATATTATTTTCAGGGGGAGATTTTACTGAGAGAGATCTAATAAATGGAGACAAATCAGAATGGTAAAGATGAGTTATCTACGTCGCCATATGTAACAACAGTTGTCCTATCATTATATTATTGTACACCTGGAACTAATATACCACTGTAGGTTAACTACGCTAGAATAAAAAAGAAATAGTTGTCTGAAATATGATCTTTAAATTTATTTCTGGGGGACGCCTGGGTGGCTCAGTTGGTTAAGCATCCAACTTTGGCTCAGGTCATGATCTCGTGGTTTGTGAGTTCGAGCCCCGCATTGGGCTCCGTGCTGAAGCTCAGAGCCTGGAGGCTGCTTCGGATTCTGTGTCTCTCTCTCCTCCTCCCCCACTCATGCTCTCTCTCCCTCTCTCAAAAATAAATACGCATTAAACAAAATTTTTTAAAAAGACTATCAATTTAAAAAAAACATTAATTTTTTTTTAATTTACTTATTTATTTGGAGGTAGAGAGTATGCGTAGAGGAGGGGCAGAGAGAGAGGGAGAGATAGAGAAGCCCAAGCAGGCTCCGCACTGTCAGCAGAGAGTCCTGTGTGAGGCTCAAACCCACAAACCGTGAGATCATGCCCTGAGCCGAAATCAAGAGTTGGACACTCAACCAACTGAGCCACCCCGGCACCCCAGGAATATGACCTTTAAAAGAAAACAAAATACATTTTGGGTCTGAAGGAGCAAATTCTACCAACTACGAACAGGAACTTTATCCCCAGCCTCCGACAAAGGTCCAAAAGATCTTTTCTTTCTTCTTTTGATGCTGTTTGTCTGTTGTAGCTTCTTGGTGGGCTTGGTGACGGGTTGTCACCGGGTGGGCTGGTCCTACGGGTTTGAGGACAGGCTCTCCTACCAGATCCAAAAATCTTTTAACCTCTTCATCGGTCTGCTCTGACCTCAGAAGCAATCAGTCCAGAGACCTCATCTACCAACGACTGACCTCCAGTTACAAAAAGGACTCCACGACAGGGAAAGTTCTCACCCAGTCCTCAGCCTCCCTGCCCATGGCTTTGGCCTGTCACCCTAATCAAAGGCCATGATCCCCGGCGACACTCACAGGCAGGAGGAGGGCGTGCCACACCAGGACATCGGCATCATGGCTGAACAGGTTCCGTAGGTACCGGGGAAGCTTTGCCTGGAGACTCTCCAGCTCCTGCAGGGGATGCATCAGTGAGCAGCTTGCCGGTCTCCCCTACTTCAGCCCCCCACCTCCCTGTCCCAGCAGCGAGCTGTCCCAAGTTTCAAAAAGGACACCCTCAGGGGCAGAAGCCGGCGAAGTCAGAGCCCTCAACTACTGAGCTCTCAGAATGTGTCAGGCACAGCGCTATGTGCTTTAAGTGACTTATCCGACTTCAGGCTCACCAAGCTCTGGAGGTACTGGGTGGGAGGAAGGTGCAGATCGCTGCTTCCAGATATTACCACTTGGGAGTAAACTCTCTTCAGAGCCTTTCCTCCTGAAACCAAGATACCACCTGACCTCTGTCATCTTGCTGTCTTCCTGAAAGGGCCTAACTCTCTCCCTCCCTCCCTCCCTCCCTCCTCACAGCATGCACTGCGTGTCTGGCATGACGACAGGCCCTTATAGTGCTCAGAGTGGACAGCAAAGACAAAGTCCTCCAGACCAGGCCTGGGGAAGGAAGACGGTTCAGACAGACTGCAGCAGAGAAACACATCACGCAGAGAAACAAGGGGACAAGGAGTGACTCACCCCGTCCCCTAGAGAGGTAGCCCAGATACCCAGACATCAGCGGATTCTCCCTACAGCCCTTTACGGAGCATCCTCTAGCGACACTTGAGTAAGAAGGGCCCAGCCCTCAAGAACTTTGCTGGAGTGATGGCAGAAAGGTGAATGTGACTATGTGAATAACGGGTATGGACACATAATAGGGAAGAGGACAGGGGAGCAGGAAGGTTTCGCAGAGGGCGCCACTGTGCCAGGCCATGCAGGGAAGGGGACAGGCACCAAGGCAGAGGCCGGGTCAGAGCAAAGATACAGTGTGTTCCATGCAAGCTCAATAGTTATTGATGGAAAAGGAATCCACGGTCAAGTACATCGGAAAGCACAAAGCTAAACAGATTCCTTTACTGCAGGACTTCCCAGAGCCTTCAATGTGCTATTGTGCATCACAAATCTCCAAGCTGTGCGCCCACAGCATGCAGAACTTCTCAAACACATCGACCAAGGAACCCGTCTCCTCTTCGGGGGTCAACAGACTTTTTTTTTTCTTTGAAAACAAAACAGTAACAATAACAGATAAGAAGACATTCAAGGGCAAGGACATATACCTCTGGAACAGCAAATGGGTATAAACCATTGGTTGTCAACTTGGGGGCAGTTTGACCCCACACCCCCAGCGGACACTAGGCAATGCCTAGGCCTTTTTTTTTTTTTTTTTTTAAATTAGGCTTCATAGCCAGTGCAGAGCCCAATGCAGGGCTTGAACTCATGACTCTGAGCTCAAGACCTGAGCTGATGAGGCACCTGGGTGGCTCAGTCAGTTAAGCATCTGACTCTTGATTTTGGTTGGGGCCATGATCTGATGGTTCATGGGATGGAGCCCCCGGTCAGGCTCTGTGTTGGCATCGCAGAGCCTGCTTGGGATTCTCTCTCTCCCCCTCTCCTGCCCCTCCCCCGCTCATGCACATGTGCACTTGTGCACTCTCTCTCTCTTAAAAATAAATTTAAAAAAAAAAAAAAAAAAAAAAAGACCTGAGCTGAGATCAAGAGTCAGAACGCTTAACCGACTGAGCCACCAGGCACCCCTAGAACATTTCTGGTTGTCACACATTGGGGGAGTGATGCCAGCATCTAGTGGGTTGAGGCCAGGGATGCCGACAAACATCTTACAAAGAATTAGCCAGCCCCAGATGTCAACAGTAACGAGGCTGGGAAACTGTGGTATAAACAAAGGTGGCTCAAAACCAGTTCACAGTTTGGGAGGGGCTTTTCATACTGTGGACCACGTGAACTTTCTCTGAACCCCCAACACATAAACACAACCCTGGCCCCATCTCCTATCTCTTAGCTAGCCCATACTCTCTATTCATAACAAAAAACTGCTTCTTGTGCCTTCTGCACAGAGTCTCTGATCCCTCACTTATTATATTAAATTTTTTTTTAATGTTTACTTATTTTTGAGAGTGAGACAGAGTGCAAGCAGGGGAAGGGGCAGAGAGTGAGGGAGATACAGACTCTGAAGCAGGCTCCAGGCTCTGAGCTGTCAGCACAGAGCTTGACATAGGGCTCAAACTCACGAGCCCTGAGATTATGACCTAAGCCAAAGTCAGGTGCTTAACCAACTGAGCCACTCAGGCACTTCTGACCCCTCATTTATTTTTCACTCCATATTTGCTACCATGAATCCTAGCTCCAGTATCATCTATTGGCAAGAATGAAGTTCTAGGTCAAATAGAGAAGCTGTGGAATGGACACTTTCCTGACTTTACTATAACTGAGATCATTTGGGACATTTCATTTCTTTTTTTTTTAATTTTTAAATGTTTATTTATTTTTGAGAGACAGAGACAGAGCATGAGTGGGGGAGGAGCAGAGAGAGAGGGAGACACAGAATCCAAAGCAGGATCCAGGCTCTGAGCTGTCGGCAAAGAGCCTGACATCAGGCTCAAACTCACGAACCGCGAGATCGTGACCTGAGCCAAAGTTGGATGCTCGACCAACTGAGCCACCCAGGTGCCCCTTGGGACTTTTCTGTTATAAATGAGTTCTGCCAAAAGATTCTGCAAGCCTGAGGATGTGAAACCCAACCTAGGACACTCAGCTCTTTCTTGAGGCCTATTAGGAAATCACCTGACTCAGAGAAATAGAAAATAAAAGTAAAGAGGCCACTGGAAGGGGGTGCAGGTTGGAGCCCTACCAACCTGGACTCCTATCCCAGTCCCATCACTCCTTACTGGGTGACCCTGAACAATCGAGTTATTCTCTCTGAGCCTCCACTTCCTCATCTGTAAAATGGGGGTATACGGCTTCTCTCACAGGGTTGCTGTGAGAATCTGATGAGCTAACGTAAATGGCCAGGCACTTAGTGGTGCCAGTGTGATAAATACCGGCTCCTAGTTCTTTCCCACTTGGCTAGAAAGACCCTTTGCCCCACTTTGTTGCCAACCTCCGGATTTCAGTTTTTCTGGATTGAGCCTGCTCTGTGTTCCAACCTGAGACTCTCTAACTCTCAAAGGTGGAGAGGAGAAAGCAGCCCTCTTCACCCCCTTAACCCTGCTCCCACTCTGCATACTGGAAGGGCACTTCCAAGAGAGTCAAAGTCTGGGGCATGTCAGACCCATTTCACCTGACCTCTCTTACTTCCCCACCTGTGCCCACCTCCTGGCTACACCCCTTCAAACACCCTGGGTTTTCCCATATCCTGGGGAATTTGACCCTTCCCATCCTTCCAGACCTCATTTCAAATTGTGTCCCTAACTGGAAAGAAAGCTCAAAGGGAGGGGGGATTTTTGCTCATCTCTGCTTCCCTACTTCCTAGAACAGGAGCCAGCACATAACAGGCATTCGACAACATTTGTAGAAGGAATGAGTGCGCACCACCTACTCCGGGACACCTGCCAGCTGCGCCTTGGCATCTTTCCCCCCCGAGAATACCCAGGGAACTTTGTTCCCGATTCCTACTCAACACCCCATACTGGTCGGGACTCTAGAAACATAGGTACCCAATTAAGGGCGGGGCATGAGCTACTCCAAGGCAAAGACCTTGTTCTGGTTATCTCTGTCCCTAAACCCCTCCACTCCAGCAGAGAGCCTGGCTCCTGGAACCTTTCCAGCACCTCAGTGACAAGCAAGCAATTATTATCACAAGTTTCTTGCAGGAGAAAAGAAACCGAAACCAATTCGGGAGGAACCATCCGCATCCCCAGCGCAGCCCAGGGCGCCAGGGACAGCTCCGCTCCATACGCCCCCGCTTCCTCAGACTCCATCTCCTGCCCCCCTCGAAGACCTGCTCCTCCTCCGGGCCAAGCGGCGGTAATAGGGACAAATAACCGCGCTCGGAAAGCCGGGGGAGGGATGCAAGGAGCAGGTCAAGGGAGGCGAGAGGAGCCGTGAGAGAGGGGTCGCCCGACCTCCTTACCTTCGCCACCCGCTTGCTGGCAGACATCTCGGGACCGAGCGTGGGGGCTTCCGGGCGCGAGGGCTTCCGCTAGGACCTCGGCCGGCTAGCGGACTCGGAGTGCACCGCCCCCAGCCACGCCCCCAGCGCCACGCCCCCCAGCCACGCCCCCGCGGCGCAGAGGACTCGGGTTCCCGCCTGCCCGCGCGG